CAATTAAGATAAATAGAAAAAAAGTCTTGTATTCATTCTATAATACATTTCAATTAAGATAAATAAAAAAGTCCCGCATTCATTTATAATACACTTCAATTAAGATAAATAGAAAAAAAAGTCCTGTATTCATTCTATAATATATATCAATTAAGATAAATAGTAAAAAAAAAGTCCCGCGTTCATTCTATAATACATTTTAAAGAAAATAAAGAGTTATTTTTTCCTCACACTTATTATTCTTGAGACGATGAACGTCACATATTTCCAGAACAAAATTATTGCATCCTAAAGTTTCAAAGTACTTTTGTATTCATTCCCAAAGCGAATAATACATTTAGGCAGTTTTTTATGGTTCAAATAAGTCTTCCGTTATAATCGTATATTAAGATATTTTGAGTCACGCCCCTTTTACTGCATTGGTCTTCACTGATATTATCATCTGCACAAGTTACAACTTTTTTACAAGCCTGTTATCTTGAAAGTATATTAATGTTGAGTCCACTCTGAATGTAAATAACAGTTTTCCCAATCTTTCAAAAATATATAAATGCTAATTGACATATATTTGTGGTTCATTATAGACTAAAAGTTACAGTATTTTCCCCCAATTCTTTAGAAAATTCGAGACATTTTGTGAAATCAAGACATCCAGTACATTTCTAGGCCGAAACTTCCTTTAGCAAACAATCTAAATGAAACTGAGGAAAATGTGCAATTCAAGAGATAATTCACAACAATATGCAGATAGTCCTTATTTTTTATTTATTTAAGTCTAGCAAGAAATTGTATGAATGTCACATTCTTTCACTTAATTGCTTCACAGTTTCAGGCTGCTGTGAAAAAATAATATTTTAGTTTACTGTCGTTAAGTTTACTAAAATTCATAAAATTTAATAACTTTCTAGGTTGATGCAGTGTAACTTTCCGTTTCAACCGTGTTCGATAAGCGCATGCGCAATTGCTAACACACCTGAATTTCGGTGACAGAGTTTTGTTTGTTTATTGTTAAGCGCAAAGCAACACAATAAGCTGTCTGTGCTGTTTTCACCACGGTAACGAAACAAGGTTTTAAGCGTTATAAGCCTTCAAACGTACCGCTGAGCCACAAGGGGGCAGTTATGGTCATTCTGGATTATTGAATGTAATTAAATATGAATTGAAATTCTTTATGTAACTTCAGTTAAACGCTAACAATAAATGAAAATATAAACACACGAAACCTGTTGAATTCATGATCATAAAGTTATTAACCAAATTATATATAGAAGTATATTCATAAGGAAAACAGTACAACCAAAACGAATTTTTGGGAATAATGTAAAACTGTGCACCTCGTCTGTCGTTAGAAAAATTCTTTCAAATTTATATCTTATCAAAATATCCTGAACCAATATAACATTATATATATATATATGTCTCGTTCGTACTAAATATACATAGCGTAAAAATGGAGAATTTAATACGGCTTGACAGTAACAACAACAATAACATAAACATTATATGACAGTTTCTTCTGCTCAAAACAAATCTTACGAGTCTGTCAAACTTGAAATAACCATCTCAGCTGCATATTTAAATTTTACTATCAACTTGGATAAGACTATATATTGTAGAAACATAATATATTTTATTAATATATTTAAATATTGTACGGTAATATTAAATGATGTTGATTTCAAGTCTAAACAAAGGAAAGTTATCCTTTTTCCATCAGTAATTCAGAAAGTACAAGTCATGAAAACTGGTTTATCATTACCATCTATCAGTAGTGTCCTAAATGTTAGGGTTTTCCTTCGTCAACGACTGATAAATTGAAAAGAGAACCTACCGTCTGCGTAATCAGGTGGCAACAACCTTCGATAAGGAGTAAATGCGCTCCCTGCCTCTGTATGCTGAAGGTTGTTACATCTTCCATCAATACGGCGATAGGGAAAATTGGGTTGACAGTGTGTTGAGTCCGTGAGATTTATTCGAGCGTGAAGAACTAGTTTTTGATGAGGGCATTGAGATCCCTTATGAATGATCTCCAAGACATCTTCTTCTGTCAGGTTTAGCCTAAAACATACATATGACATTTTATGTAACTGTTTAAATCGTAAAATATTTGCATGTGCCCCCCCCCAGTAACACAGCGGTATGTTTACGAACTTACAACGCTAGAAACCAAGTTTCGATACCCGTGGTGGGCAGAGCTCAGATAGCCCATTGTGTAGCTTTGTGCTTAGCTTTAAAACAAATAAACAAACAAAACAAGCTTAGCATGTTGTACTGTGGATCTGAAGTTCTATGTTTCACGCCCCGTTACCACCTAAAACAAAAAATCACGCTCCACACTTTCGGACTGTGGACGTGTTATAAGAGTAAAGGTCAAATCCCACTATTCGAATAGAGTAACTCACAATTTGGTATTGGGTGGTGTTGAATAGCTGCCTTCCCTCTAGTCTATTATTTCAAAATTAGGGATGGCTAGAGCAGATGGCTCTCGAGTAGGTTAGCGCAAAAATCAGCAGCAACTTCCTATCTGACATCGTAAGCTCCTAATCCCATTTCTAACACTTCTCTAACCACTTGTTCTTCACTCTGGTCTAACTTACAAGACTGAGCGCCTATTTGTCTTTCTTTCCTTGTCACTGTTATTATGCTTAGTTTTTATTACACCCACGTTCTACGCAGATCTGACAAATTTGTCGATACTTTTCACTGTATTTTACTACTTATACATCTTTCTTAGTGACTAATTAGTAAATAGCAATATGTTTAAGTCTGTGGCCATGGTTTCATATTTTTAATACAAAAAAAATGTCTATATAAATATTGGGATAAAATATTAAGTAAACAAATATGTTTATTTGTTTTTTGTTAAGCGCGAAGCTTCACAATGGGCTATCTGTGCTGTGCCCACCACGGATATCGAAACCTGGTTTTTAGTGTTATAAGCCTTCGGACTTATCGCTGAGCCGCTGGCAACAACAAATATATAAGATAAGAGAATATACACACAAACAAAACAAATTATTTTAAAACCAACCTCAAAAAAAAAAAGCGCCGCTAATACTTTGTCCTTTAAACTAATGGATAATATGGCCACGAAATTATGAGCCCCACTACATCCCCAGTCCAACCTTTAAATAGCCTTCTTTTACTACATTGGTCTTTAAAACATTTAGTTTGGCCACAGAACCTTTATCGGCGCTCATTTGAATTCCCAGAACCATTTATGGGTGTTTATTTTAAGATTCAATTCTTGTATTAAGTGGCGAAAATGATGGTTATGAAGAAAAATAAGTTTAAAAAGGGTATTTGTAATGTGGTAACACCACACAGAAAAATGTTCTTCACACACTCAAACATATACATATATATACATAAAGTATGACATGAACAACCTTCCAATGTGTTCCTTCGGGTGTGAAGCTCCCAACCTAAAGCATACATACTATATAGAAAACATTAAATCACAAATAACATGTATTGTGAGAACACTGGCGCATGTTTAAGAGATATGCCACTAAATATTAACAAAGTATGGGTCTTTAAATATTGAAACTGTGGGAATAAAAGGACAGAGTGAAAGACGCATTTAAAGTTGTTTTAATATCTGTTGCTTCAGTAATAAGTAATAAATGAGCCACACCCCACTCGAATACCAAATTCATAGATAAATGGATGGTTAAACTAGATGCTAGAAATACGATGAGACGATGGCGAGTGAAGAATAGTCCCTTAAACGGAGAAGGCAGCCGATGCCACAAGACCACATTCATCAACATAATGGAATGTTCAGCAATTAATCAACATACAGAAGATACAACCATAGTCACAAAGAGAACCCTAGATTAGGCTACTCGGAAGTGAAGAAGGGAAAGTTGGTATCTGAGGAAAGAAGAAGCATGTGGGTGTATAATTTAGGATGAAAACTTACTTCACTAAAGTAGCCTTGCAGCAGCGAATTCAGCCCCAAACATTTGACTGAACCACCTCCACCACTTACCTCTGTTTCCGAGACAGCTTATCACACACACAAGTAATGTCACCACATAGACATCTCGGAAAAATATGATGAAAAGGAATCAACTATGCGTCAACAAGGCAGAAACACATGAAGATTGCTGATGCAAATAACTTGTTTTCATCATGTGAAGACACTGTCTCAGATGTTTCCATTATCCTAGTACAGTCAGTGTCTACAACGCACATGTTATATCATAAATAAACCTACAATAATTATCAGTAGTCTTTGCATGAGAACCGCAATTGTTTTTTAATCAGTTATTTAACTCTGGGTTTTCTTTTCGTTGCAAAATTTTGTAATTCCAACATTATTTTATTATTTTCTTTAGCTAACATAGAAGGCCGGTTTTACAGGTTTCCATTGTCATTAATGGCGATTTCGTTTGTGAGCAGTTGCTATAGCCAAATTTGTTTTTGGAATTTCCTTAAGCAAGTGTTTATTCTGTTCTTTCTCATTTTATAACTGCTTCTACCTTTGATCAAAATCTTCTCTTGTTTCTGTGTCAGCAAATTTAACTTTTATCTCTAACTGATATCTGTGGACGAAAAGGCTTTTAATCAATTTGTGTATTTAAAGAAAACATTTCTTTGGGAATTTTCCTCATTCTTTGCTACTAAAAAGCTACCTTTATAAAATTTTATTTTAATTACAGCATCTACACTGGTAATTTAAAATAATAAGTAAACTTAGCATTTTTATGTACCGAGATTATTACCTGGTTTTCAGAGTTTTCATAAAACTTGAATTGTTTTCTTAAATATAGCGTTTTCCGATTGCAGGTGACAGTAGTGGGATAAAAAAGTTTAGCTAAAAACTCAAGGTAAATATGATATCCTAAAATTTCCGGTGATCTCTGTTCAGAGTAATTCATAAAACTGAGAAAAACTATAGTAGGTTATTTATTTTGTATTTAAACCACAATTTTGTAAAAACTGAATTTCAGCGGGTTTCCGTTGTGAAAGAAATTAACGAGTACTCACTGATATGGTTTGATGAATTTAAAATCAGTCCTAAAACCTGTTATTCACAGATTGTTATAAATAACAAGAATATTAATAGAGGTCTGGCATGACCAGGTGGTTGGGGTGCTTAGCTCGCAATCTGCGAGTCGCGGGTTCGAATCCCCGTCCCACCAAACAACTGTGGGGCGATATAATGTGAGGGTCAATCCCACTACGCGTTAGTAAAAGAGTAGCCCAAGAGATGGCGGTGAGTGCGGATGACTAGCTGCCTTCCCTCTAGTCTTACACTGCTAAATTAGGGACGGCTAGCGTAGATAGCCTTCGTGTAGCTTTGCGCGAAATTCAAAACAAACAAACAATATTAATAGAATAGCTGTGGAGCTAAAGGTAGGTAATTTTTTCATATCAATTTGGCAATGTTGTATTCTGTATGCGCATATATATATATATATTGTGTGTGTGTGTGTGTGTGTGTGTAAACTGCAAGCTGAATGTTATTCAAATATTCATGATGTTAGAAAAACACGTAGGTTCAAGAAGTCTTGATAAAAATGAATAAAAACCCTATAACCCGAGCGCTTTCGAAAGGTGGCAAACAGTTTGCCCCTGAAGAAGAAAGATCCACCTTTACATTTGAAAGCTTTCGAAAGCGCTCAGGATATAGGGTTGTTATTCAAATATGATAGTGATGTCATCCTATAGTTGTGGTGTACTGATTTGTCTCATTATTTGCCAGTTTTGAGATTTTTTTTTAATGTTCGCCTTTTGTGTTAAACATTTAAATTGAATTCCTGCTGCATACCGGACTTTTTGTTTAAACGTTCTTAGGTTTCAGAAATATGTGTATTTTACTGTATTTATCAGTTCTAATAGATATATATTTGTGGTCATTGTCTTCAAGTAATTTACATTTAAAACACATTAACCTTATAACGGAGGATAAGAACTAGAGAAATAAATTAAGGATGAACAAAACAAACACTTACTTTTCTTTTATGTATTTTACAGTTCCTTCGGTTATCACGGCTTCATTTGCCAAAACTTTTGACTGAGTGTCGGGCCGAAGGAAATTCTGATGGGTTTCTGTGGCTGATCCTTTTGGGGGTCGGATTCCTGGAAAGAAATGTTCAGGCAAAAAATAGCATAGTATTGTTTATACATTTTTGTTAGAAAGACAATTTTAGTGATTAATTCAGATATATCAACAAATTAGTCTATCACATAGTTTTCTCACAGTTTCTTAAAGTAAAGCTGTTGTCTTAAGATTTATGTAGATTAATATTTTGGTATACAAACACCATTTGTGTTAATTGTCTATCTTAACCGGTTTATTACTGGGTGCACTTTGAGGTTGAGGTTGATCTCCTATATGTTTACCTTATAGCTACTGTTTCTATAATCTTGGAGTACTATAATTATTGCTTTTATAATATCTTAGAAGGTTATTGTTACGATTAGCTATGTGTGGAATTCCACAGAAATACAGTTTTCCTGAATAATTCGGGCCTGGCGTGGCCTGGTGGTTATGGCGCTCCACTCGCAACTTGAGGGTCGCGGATTCGAATCCCCGTCATCGAACATGCCTTTCAGCCGTGAGAGCGCTATGATGTGACGACCAATCCCACTATTCGTTGGTAAAAGAGTAGCCTAAAAGTTGGCGGTGGGTGATGTTGACTAGCTGCCTTCTTTCTAGTCTATCACTGCTAAATTATGATATTGACTGCTAATTCGCCTTATAGGGTAAGGTCTGCCTCCGGCAGCTGAATGCAGGTGTGCTGTTTACTGTGTACGGATGTCACAAAATGGACGTCTATTGCAGATAGCCCTCGTGCATCTTTGCGCAAAATTCAAAACAAACTTAACTGGAATAATTCTGAATTAAATATTAAAAGTATTGCCTACCCAACATGTAGTAAATTTATCAAGGCAGATTCTCGAAAAGAGTAACTTTTTTGTAAAAGATATAGAAAAAGGAATACCGCTTCCACAAGAATTCGATCTACAAATAAATTAAAGATAACCCAAATCAATTTCAATGCAGTGGTTTTAAACCTCTAAGCAGAAAATGAAGCTTTCCAAGGATTAAAAAAGCAATATTTTATAACGACGAGAATATAGCCCCTTGAGTAACTTTATCACGTGTTACACTCTCAGGGGAGAAGGCGAGGAGTGGGTGTCCAATAACCACCCCATTATTCTAAAAAAAATAATCTAAAAGCTCCATTCTCTTCTGATTAAAAGAAAATAAACACTGAATTTTCATGTTAATAACTTGAATTCATTGTGTAGATTTGTTTTTAATTATGCACAAAGCTACACAAGGGCTATCTGTGCTCTGCCCACCACGGGTATCGAAACCCGGATTCTAGCGTTGTAACTCCGCAGACATACCGCTGTACCACTGGGGGGTGCATTGTGTAGAAGGAAAGTTCCTGATTTTTTTTGGAAAAGATCCCTATACACACATACACACTGTAGTGCTGACTACGCCCCTGATCTTATAAGTTTTTTAAAAACCGAAATATACTCATTTCAACTGTTATAAGATGAAGTTTAACTTTGAAAACATCAACCATAATTTTAAAACGACTACCGACATTTTTAAATAATCCTATATTAAGATTTTCAGTATACAATGTCCTGTTAATTCTCTTTTGAAACGGGAGACAGACGAACGCTCGGACAGACACCACGGTTCGCAATATATATATATATTTATTTATACTTTTCCATTACAATGCCATAATATCAAATCAAACAAAAACGGGTTCCTGGAATTTTCTAATTCAATGACATGCTTTCTACTCTGAGAACATAGCTGATTACTTTGTGGCAATTTTTGAATATGGGCAGGATTCTGTACAGTAGATGTGTGTTTGTGTGTTTGTGTGTGTGTGTGAATTGTTGGCGGTAACTTTCAACAATAAATGGACAGCACACAATACACCTGTTTTAAAATGATATATTCAAACAAGTCAAACGTGTATACAAATGTTGTTACACAATTAATCACCACGATTATATCCAGAGCTTTAAATAATCGTTTCTTTTCGTCCACACAGGCTGTTTCAGTTACTTTAGATCACAACTGATAAGATTCTTCTTCTTTACTCTGTTGTTACAATACAATCTGTGATAATTTCACTTTAAAAAAGTGTCATTATATGCTCTTCATAGCTAAAGTCACAAACACGCAGTTTAGATCTAGTTGACTATATCTCTCACTAATTTTGTCTTACTTGGTCGTCTATGTATATACATTGCCGACTAGTGAACTAAACAACATATGGTTTGTACACAGTTACGTAAACAACCTTACGATAAATTATCTTCTTAAAATATTAAAATGAAAACTCGCGCTTTATAACTATCTAAATCATAATTTTCGTATTAAATTTAAATGAAACTATCGTGTATAACTAACACTTTAAATTGGATATTGCAAGGATTTTCAGTTTAGGTGCAGGTTAATCACCTTTCTCGCCTTTAATTTACAGTTTATGTAAAAACCAGAAGACTGCACCTAAATGCTATTATTGCGAAATAATATCGAATTGTAACCTTCGCTTGGCGTTTGCGTACGTTTACTTGCATAGTGTTACAGAAAACCCTGAGTAGCACATTTTATGATTTTCTAGAAAAAAATACAGAAAATGGATATAATTATTTCTTCACTGCATTTTAAATTGAAACCAATGTAAAAATACATAGTTAGTACACATGCTTGTCAAAGTATCAAACTTCATTGCTCATAATGTTTAATTCTTTTTTACTGACCTGCTCTGAACAGGTTGTCTTCTTTAGTCCGTCGGTTCTCCAAATATTGGAGGCCATTCTGATAAGCTTCGTCAAGAAAGTTATCCTTCACATATGTCCGTGTTTTCTCCTCTTGAGATTTCTCTAAGTAAAAAGCGAATTGATTTATTAAAGAAAACCAACTAAAACTAAAATCACGAAAATTATGTTTAAGCAAAAGCTCACAAAACATGTGGTTAACATATGATGTTTGATATTAATAACTGAGGTTCAAGGCTTATGTCGATGTTATCATTCATTATGGCCGGGTACATGTTTGGTTGTTGGATTTTTCTCAAAACTACACATGTGTTATTTGCACTGGTTATCTCTTATTTTGAAATGATTGTCTAGAGCAGAGCACAGATCGTGTAGCTTTGTGCTTAACTTCAAATAGACAAAAAAAAACAAGGGTAGAGCAGTGGTTCTCGGCCTTTTTGAATCCAGAGAATTCTTCTGACGTCAAATTTATATCACGGAGCCCTTTACAGCGTTCATTACAAAAACATTACTGCAATACAATCTTCCTACTATAATGGACGTAGCTTGTATGTCAGTATCTATGTATGTAACCAAAACTCATGCGCCATCTATTGAATGGCACCACAAACAAAAATCCATAAAAAATTTCACACTTTGGATATTCAAGATTCAGACAATTAAAAAAATAACTGTGGTATATGCAACAACCATTTCTTTACTACAGAACACAGTTTTAAATAAAAGTAGTCTCTTCACAACAAGAACACGACTTTCACTAGGACAGTATGAAAGGATTGGATTAGATCTCCATTGATGTAATTTTTAAATGTAGTACTGAGAAACAGAAGTACTTAAAAACTACTATTTTTGAAATAAACTGAACCACTTTTAACATATAACAACATTAAAGTTTATTAAAATTTTGTGTTCTCTGCAGTGAATCATTTTGATGCAATGAGTTGCGTATGAATAAAGATCACAATCCGAACACTTTTTCTGTGCAATACTTCCCAGAAACAAATCCCTTTTTAGCAAATATTCACTTTTTCGAAATTTTTTTTCAATGAGGTATGAATAATACGACTAGTAATTATTAGCACAAACAGCCGCCCGTATCAATAATTCCAGACAGAGTACGTATACTTAAAGCAGCTATATACCCAAACACATGCATGCAAAGTATGAAAAATGTCTTGAGCCAATTACTCTGGCATACATGACGAGAAGTCTGCTCTCTCAACTAATTAAAGTTTACATGAGTCAAGCACCTGTTTGTTCCTAGTCTTTTTAAAACAGTGCAGTTACTTGTTGTTATGTTGTGTCATTATGAAACCCGCTTTACTAATAAAGAAATGTGATGTAGTCAGAGTGCAATCATGTGACTAGTATGTAATTACGTATTAGAAGTTGTGTAATATTTGCATTCCGCGGAACCCTGCAGAACCACAATATCTCGTGGAACCCCTGGATGTCTGTCGAACAATCCGAGTGTTCCGCGGAATCCCAGTTGAAAAGCACTGGACTAAAGGGAAAGCAGCTAGAAAACATAACCCACCGCCAACTCTTGTCAAACCAAATAGTTGGTTTTAACTGTCACTCTTATAACGCACCCATGGTCCAAAGGTGTGGGGCGAGTTTTTTGCGGCAATGGGAGGCTAACCACGGAACCTCAACTCTACAGTCCGGCACGATAGCCATTGGAGTTAGTGAAGCGAAGCTTTAGGAAATAAAACAAAGCGACGCCATAGATTTAACTTTAACTTTAACTCCAGCTTTATTTCTAGCAGTCTCTAGAAGTTATACCGCTCAAGCTTGTTTAGCGAAAATTGTTTTCGATATATTGTTTTCTATAACAGTTTTGTATGTAGTTAAGTACAAAGCTACATAATAAGCTATCTTTGCTCAGCCCACCACGGGTATCAAAACCCGGTTTCTAGCGTCGTATGTCCATAGACATACCGCTGTGCCACTGAGGGGCATTTCTATAATAGAATATAACTGATTGAATAATGATAATGATAATCTGATACTGTTTTCAGCGTTTACGTACATGGAAAACGCCTACAAAATCTAATTTCATGTGATATATCTCCACCATGTAGTTTATATATATATAATGTATAAAGCTGAGATAGACACCCGTTTTAGCAGTGTTAGTTTCTGATTTTAAGCAAGATGCCATTGATCCGAGAGAAAAAAAAGAAGCTAAAACAAAATATTACAAACCCAAGACCATAGGATTGGGGAGGTTAGGTTTAAGTAGTCAGATTAAAAGGTATTGTAGGTTAAATGATATTAACAATGTATTTAATAACATTTCATGCGCGTTGTAAATTCTCAACAAAATTTGTGCTATCTACCAAAGCTTGATATTTTCTAAGTCACAGTCTTGTCGAAAGATGTTGCCTGGCGTGCTACTTTTGACAGGTGTGCCGCGAGTTGGTCACCTCTGCTGTAAAATGCTTTAGACATAACTATAGATATATTCGTGATGTAATTACCAGATGCATGTCACAAACAAATAAATTACACCACGTTTTTTCTCAAACAATAAAAAATGAACAAATAAAACCTGCATCTCAAATGTAAACACTGTAGCTCGAAGTATCAGAATAAAACAAATATACATATATATATATATATATACAGTTAAAATGAGTAGAAGGCTGAAATAATTGCACAATAAATCTATATAAATAAAATAAGAGTTTTGTCTGTACATTGCTTAGAATAGTGTACTTTTTGCATATCTTCACGTTTCATACACCAGAGCAGCCGAAACAAGCCTTATCTTAATTTCTGTCTGTCTGTCGGTAACAATAATAAAGAGAAATAAAACTACAGAAGTGTAAAGAGTTCAATCCAAATGAAATATATTCCAGCTCTTTAAACATACTAGCATAAAATACCAGCGCTCCGTTGTGGGGTTCATGATCCACAGAAGCCCCATAGTTTCGTTAGGACATCCGCTCATAGTACCTGGGCATGTGTATTACGTTTGGTCCCACTAGTTTGTGAGGTGTGAACACAGTTACAAAAATGGCGCCTCCGGGATCACTAGGAAACCAGGAACACAAAATTCGATGCCATATTTCGGTTCATTGACCCTAAAAACAAATTTATAGACCCCCACCATGGCTGAGTGACCATATGGGCGTTTAGACCTTCTTTGTGCCCCATTGGTAGGGGAGTTAAGTCATACAAATAAAGACCCCTTCCCCAAATTCGCATGACAAGTTTGGTCCTGCTAGCTCGAAAACCTTGGGAGGAGTTCGCGGACAAACAAAGAAACATACAACGTAAATGAATTTAAGATATAGTGCATACCATTCCTGTTTTCACTTGGGTTAACTCAAGTTATATGTACTTCCCATATTAAACAGAAAAGAAACAACATCTAAGCTTGTTAGCCTTAACCATTACGAGAAGATAGATGCATATTTTATTTCAGTAAGAGTTGTATTAAAAAAAAGCTCATTCTGATTTACTTTTTAAGGTCTAAATTGTTTCTAGTTTCGTATTCTTTGAATTTAAAAAATAAAGGCTGCCTCAACTAGTCGTAAAACCCAACGTGGCATTTTTTTCCCTGTCAAGGGTGGCATTTTAAAGTCAACCCACTCTCTAATTTATTCCGATGTGGGCTGGTTGTATACTAAGTTTCAATATAAACGATCGTTATTTTTGTGAATTTCTGACCTCCTACAGGTCATGCATTCCACATACTCTTTTTTTACTTTTCCATCTTTTTTGCATCCTGGAGATATACGTCGAACGAAATTGTATGAGAAACGAAGCATAAATAAGGATAAAAATAATAATAATTGTACAGCTTATTTAAACCCGTCAAATATAATTCAAATGGAAAACAAGTATTAGTTGTGTAGTAAAAACAAGAAATGTCTTTGAAATGTCATTTATTTAGTTAAATATACATATTTATAGACATATCACGATTAAAACTTCCTTAATTCCAAAATATTTTATAAACGTCCTTTTGTCCAGTTATGTAATGCTAAATTTTATAGTGCCGGAATTATACCAAAATTTGTCAGACTTGTAACGTCAACATCAAAGTAAAGACGCCATATTCAAAACCTAATTTATATTTTTGTGAGTCCATTTTAAATAAAGAAAACATATGCAGCGCTCTAATTATTGGAGATTACTTACATCCGTTCAAAATTAAATACGCCTATATTACCACATGAAAACACGCAACACAACTTCCTTTAAATTAGCCAGGCAATGAAAAGCAACAATAAGCGCAAAAAAACAAACAAACAAGAATATCAAACCATTTCCGAAGGATATAGAACAAAATGTCATTTATAAAGTTTAGACATAACGTATACAATGTATATATTCTATCTAGTCTTAATTTGCTACTCCAATAGCAAGAGAAATAATATTACTTAAAATTGACCGCACTATAAGTAAAAACAAAAGAATTACATTCGACAAAGGTGGGTCAGTGTTTAATGACCTAATGCAGGGAAATTCGTAGCTTTTTGCTCAGGTAAGGGAGCTCAGCCATATAGCGGTCCGGGGGTTTGGGAGCGAAGCCCCCTTTGAAACTACAGCATTTCAACATTACTGAATAGTGAAAAGATGGAAGTACAAGCGTTTCATACTGTAACTTTGTGTTTTGTTTTCAGATAGGGAAATCCAAATAATAGTTATTGATTTTTTTTTAATTATGCACAAAGCTACACAAGGGCTATCTGTGCTCTGCCCACCACGGGTATCGAAACCCGGTGTCTAGCGTTGTAAGTCCGCAGACATACCGCTGTGCCACTGGGGGACATACTTATTGATAAAAACAAGACATTTCTGCGTGTCTGCAGTTTACAAGTATTCAACAGATACTCCCACCTGCCAATGTTTATGTGTTAAAATGACACATAAACAAACTTATCATATTTTAAGCTACTACTTGTCGCTGTCAATCTGTTTATTTGAAGACAAATTATTTGATTAAGCGCCCATTCGGGCAACTGGGAAGGTATGGTTCATGGGAAAAGCAAGGAGGAGGAGATGTACAACTCTAATATATAGCAATGCATAAAAACTAGGAAAATGTTGATTGGATTTTACCAGTAGTGGCATTACAGAAAATGTTTATAGAAAACAAGTAAATTTCATTAAATTCATTGTGGAAAGCTTTGTTCAGTTGAATCGTAAGGAGAGCGCAGTTTGCTTTTGTATTTTTACCTCCGCCACCGCAGGTGGGTGGAAGTTGTGTTTTCACCCTTGTGTGTGTGTATTGGTTTGTTTGTTTGTATGTGTGTGTGTGTGTGTTTGTCAGCAATATTTCTCAAAAATGGCTGAATGGATTTGGACGATAGATAGTATATATATATATGAACTATGACCCAACTTAAAATTGATTAGTTTCGGAGGGTTAAGGTCACGAAATAATCCCTATCGGTTAACATGGTAACCAATGCTTCACACTATTTTTGGTTTATAACTCAGTCAAAAATTATCGGATTTTGATGAAACTTGGTGGACACGTGTAGAATATTATTCCCCATTTTTCTGTCTAAAATGGGCACATTTTCGTATCTTTTGAAAGTCGAAAATGATTAACTGTGCGTGGCGGAGGAAAGCGCTCTACTGAGTGCCCCTATAGTTCTAATATAAATCCATTTGGATTGATTAAGCTATTGAGCTTTAATTTATAGGGTTACCAGATTTCCAGAACGAAAAACTATTTTTTATACAGAGTGAAGCTGTAACATGTCTGAAAGTTGAAATTATAATAACACTTTTTAACATTTTTTAAAAATAAGCTGGTGTTTATTCCATCGCATTTCAAAAACCATAGAGATAAAAAAACATTTAAAGCTTATGTAGTTAACATAATAATAATAATAAAAATTTACGACGTTGTCTTGAACCTACTGAGAAAAGAATGTTGTTCATTGTTGTTGTTGTTGCTTTTGTTATTTTTTTCACAGCTGGGCATATTTTCAAATCTCAATTCCTGTATCTGCCCAGTGACAGGTTAAGTTAAGAAAAAATAGCAGAGAGGGAACGAATACTGTACCGTTTGATCTTTCTCCGTCAGATGACTCTCCAAGTAAAATTTAAAGGAACTATGTGTAATATTAAAATATATAAGAGTAAACAATACGCATTAAGCTCATAATGAGGTAGAGAGAAACCGAAACAACTTAATACTTTTACTGTTTCTGAGCGGGACGAGAAAAAGATCTAAAATCGGGGACGCCTGGTTATTCTATTCATTGACGATATATAACAATAATAAATAACCCAAGTGCGTTTGGCAAGTAGACCTTCATCCACCAGGACTGAACTAAGAAATGAACAACAGGTTTAAAATTCATAATGTGAATTTCAGGTAGGCCATGAATAGCTTTGCGATTTGTACAACCTGATAGAAGAATGCTGATTTCCTGTATTATGAGGCAGTGACTCTTGCATCTAAGAGATATAAATAAACAGGATGATGGTATCACAAAAGAAACCATATATTTAGAAATTCGGTAAAATCACAAAAGTAAATATAGAAGTGAAGAAAATTCAAAGTACGTTACTAATTCAAAAATAAAAGATTGAAACTACCAACTATAATTGAAACTAGTTGGAGTACCTGTCCCCTGGACGGAAGTTCTGTAAATTCATGATTAATGAAAGGTTATATTCAGACATGAAAAGTTGTTTCCCTTTTATGTAATTGTAAAAAAAACGCACATAAAAAAACTGCAAGACACAAAATGTGAAACCGCAAGTCCGTATGTATGTATCTCCCCATGGACCCAACAAACCTTCATGCCAAGATCCATCAACAGGGGAGAAGTAGAGGTAAAAACGCAAAACTGAACATTTGTATGTATCTCCCCATGAACCAAACAAACCTTCATGCCAAGATCCATCAACAGGGGAGAAGTAGTGGTAAAAACGCAAAACTGAACATTTGTATGTATCTCCCCATGAACCCAAAAAACCTTCATGACAAATTTGGTGAAAATCCATTTACAAGGAGCGAAGCCCATAAAAACCACAAAACGCGAAACTGAAAATTTGTACGTACCCCCGCATGGACCTAATAAACATCTATACCAATTTTGGTGAATAACCATTCACACCCTGCGAAGTAGCTACATGGACAAACAACAGACAGTACTATTATATTTATATAGATTATTCGGGTAGAGTCGAGTTGAACCATAGAGACCGACGTTGTTCAAAGTAGTAGTGTATCAAGTAAAACGTCTTCTATAGTGATGATTGTAGAACCAACTGATGACTAAATTGGAGATTTTTGCACTGAATGACGTAAATGGTGTCGGGATTGTGCGAGAGATATGCTTGGTAATTTTATTTCTTTTTTTTTTATTCTGACAAGTGATGATTATTTTCGTGATAAACTTCTAGCTAAAAACGACAAATGTTTCAATAATTTAAACAAATAAATCTGGAAAAAAGCTTTGCCTAAGACAAAATTATAAACAACTCGAGACTTCGTCGAGTACACATTTCACTGTATCTAAACCAGTCTGGTGGCAGATCCCCGATTCTCATATTATAACTAATGTCCCCCGGTGGGACAGCAGTAAGTCTACGGATTTACAACATTGAAACCAGGGGTTCGATTCCCCTCGGTGGACATAGCTTATAGTCTGATGTGGCTTTACCATAAAACACAAATTAATGGAAAAATGTTTACTAATTCTAAATACACTTACCTAACAAACAATTGCAAAAAACAATTATTACACACCTATATATACCAATACTATTAATACTGATATGAGTCACTCTTTATAAAAAGAAAAGGCTTGTTTGTTTTTGTTTTTGTAATTGTTCCTGTGAACAGGTTTATTTGAATTCTGGTCCAATCTAACTTGTTTTCCAATTATCACGAGAAGGCAGCATTTGGGTTAATACATTAGATTTCTTTAATTCGAGTTTCATTTTACGAAGAAGAAAAATAAATGGAACTCTGCACTGAACCTGAAGTGTAAGTTTCAAATCAACAATGTTATTAGTTACATAACAGTAAGAAAACAAACAAGTTTCCTACTTTGTACTTGAATCCTGTCCTTCTTTGGGTAGTTTAGTATTTCTAAGAGTCTGTTAATGATGTTACGAGTTTGGGTGTCGAATGATGAATTCATGTTGGCATTGTGAAGCAACAGCACATCTTTCAAAAGTTTTGTTATTTTTGTACAGTTATTTGAAGATGACGAAGTGACATTTTCTTCTATCATAATGCAAGGAGATTCCAGTTGATGTAAAACATCTATGGCTAACTGCTTCAAGCATTGCTTGTTTGAAAATTTCATGTCATCTGTACAACTACTGTTTCCTGACATATGATGAGTGTTGACTTCCATCCACAGTTCCACCATCGAAAGGGGACTTTCAGTGGCTCTTGAAGAATTAATTTGTTTGTTTAATTCATGGCAAAATTCGGCTAAGTACAAACTGAGAAAGGTTTCGGCTGATTTAGAATTTTCAGAACGTGAGGTATCTTTGTGATATTCAGGACCTTGCTGTGGGTGTTTGAGTGCTATCGCTGGCTTATCATGCTCCTTTTGGCAAGATGTCCAATGTTGAGACAAGTTTTTCCATTTGTGGTCATGGTCCGATGGGTGAAACTTCTCTAGGTATGAACAGTACCGCACAAACATTTGGATTAGATTTGTCCAATCAAAATTATCTTCAAGACTGAACGATTCATCATCCACAATTACATCGTTTGTTAAGTCTGATTTTTGATTAAATGTAGAAAAGAGCAACAAGTTGGAACCATGGTCGCTGTCGTTTTCATGTTCTACTGACGAAGAGCGATCGGATATTACTTTGTGGCCAACGTACATGATCAACGCAGTGGCGAAAATTCTATACAAAGTAGAAAATAAATAAATATTCATATATATCAAACTCCGATAAATGAACCCCTTTATAAATAGTTCAAACGTTACAATTATTTTATGTTACAAAAGTACTTCAGAGTTTGTAAGCTTGGCCTACTTACATTCAAATATATCAGAAATTTTTCTTTAAAGATATTATTGCAACCCCAGTGGCACAGCGGTATGTCTGCGGACTTACAACGCTAGAATCCGGGTTTCGATACCCGTGGTGGGCAGAGCACCCAATATGTAGTTTTGTGCTTAATTACAAACAAACAAACAAACAAATTAGGGATATTATTTCACACTAAAGTGAGAAAATTCAATAAATATTAAAACAAATATTCAAAGGATATTAATGGTAATATTTGAATTACTTCAATAAATTTAATTACAAAAAAGCAGAACATTAGATTATTCTCTTAAATATCTCGAAATGCCCAGTAATTTAACTATCAGAAAAGTCTCACAAAAAAGCGACTATTCCATTTCTTATTTAGCTTACACTGAATGTCATAACATTGGTTTTTCATGTAATTAATTTTACTTTTTTTTTAAGAAAAAGAAAAGCCTAACCTTATTATCCCAAGAGTAAGATTCTAGTTGTACTTAGATGTAGATATTTGTTTACAGTCAGAATTCGGGTACGACTACTCTTTCTATTCACCAATATATATTTTTGGGCTTATATTGTGTTTTAGTTTTTATTTTCGAATTTGTAAGACCATTTTTTTCATCATAACTTCTTTTAGTTTTAGATATATGAAAAGTTCTTCAGTTAAGTAGTAATAGTATAGTAGGCCGGAGGCTAGGTGAAATTGGACTGATGTGCCACGCTCTAGGCTCCATCCGGATGGCTGTCGGGTGGGTTGGGCAGATGATGAGCACAGTCATATTGGACGACATCACAACAACCAAGATGGCGGACTCCATTGGACGCAACCATATTGGATGATGTCAACCATATGTAACTATTTATTAATTACGCCATATTAATAATCCATATTCATTAATTACGCCCCAGACAAAAGATCAATCAACTACATTAAATTCTTACTCTCTGGCTCTACACTGAGTGGTCACAAGTAAAAGGACACCACCTTTTCAGAAAAAATGAAAATTTTCAGTCATATTCACATGAATTGAT